TCCCTGGGCTCAGGTCAGTCCCCGGTCAGAATCTCACTTCTAATCCCTTCAAATCATTTGTTAGTCCCTGTTGTCTAAACAGTGGGGAAAAACCCTGAGTAACACCCCTGGATCCTGTTCAATCAACTGGGATGGCTGGAGACGGCTATAACTCACTTCCGAGAAGCCAGGGTGATCTCTCCCTTGGGTAGAACCAGTGTGGCCCTAAGAGATCGCAGTGTCATCAGAATCAATCCTGGGGCCACTGAAGCCCTTCACCTGCAAGGGTCTCTGTGCTCTTCTATACGACTGGAAAACAGTATCGCCCCGCATGTTTACAGTTTTCCATAGCTCCTATATTAAAATCACTCTGGCTGGGCTTCAAACCGCAGAGAGGCACAAAAAAAGAAAAAATGGACAGGTGTATTTAGCCCCAGTTTATAAATGAAAAACCGAGGCTTAGACAGAATAAGAGATTATCAAAGACTCAAAGCTGATCAGAAGTATTTTCCAAGTCAGGTGTTCCTTTCTCACTAACACATGGCTGCTCACTTTACACCTAGACAAAGGGACTGAGGGAGATGGTGCGAGGGCCACCCCTCCCCTTTCAGAAGAATCTGTACTGTTTTCTCAGGGCAATGAGGGACATTGGGCTCCACTGAGGTCCCCAGTTAGCACGGGTCTAGCACGTGCCTCACAGGCGTCTGGTGACTTCTTCATGGCACTCCCAGCGATGGCGAGATGACATGGAAGCTTCGCAACCCCTCCTTTGAGCTTCCATGTCCAGAACCATGACGACCTGGCTATTCCTCACTTACCAGTGTAGATTTTTTTAAAAAAGATTTGTTTATTTATTTGAAAGGCAGAGTTACAGAGAGAAAGAGAGGCAGAGGTAGAGAGAGAAAGTCTTCCATTTGCTGGTTCACTGCCCAAATGGCTCCAACAGCCAGTGCTGGGACAGACCAAAGCCAGGAGCCAGGAGCTTCCTCTGGGTCTCTCATGTGGGTGCAGGGACCTAGGCACTTGGACTATCTTCTGCTGCTTTCCCAGGTACACCAGCAGAGTGCTGGATCGGAAGTGGAAGAGCCGTGACTTGAACCGGCACCCATATGGGACGCCGGCATGGCAAGCAGCAGCTTAACCCACTGTGCCACAGCACCGGCCCCTCCACTGTAGATTTTGCTTCTAGGAAGTGTGAATGGTTCGGCAGACAGCTGTTCCCAGAAATTTGCAGTTAAAATTCAACTTGGCTGCCTAACTGCTATTTGCTTTTCTGTGAGCCACACAGCTCTGCATCCTGAGTGCCTTGTCTCTATGGACATGCTGAGACTCAGGTGGGCTGTGCTGAAGGACGACCAGTGACTCCACGGTGTCTCCACTGGGTACGGCTGGAAGGAAAGCACCTCCAAAGAGGCCAGGTCTCTGCTGCTGAGATTCCCACGATGCTATGGGAACAAGTGGGAGGAGTCACGGCAGCTGAATGTCAGGGGTCAGCGTCACGAGTAAAGTGGTCACAACAGAAGTAGATCCCGTGGTCAGAGGGAAGGAACTGGGTAGACTGCCACACCTTGGCACTAACTGAATCTGATACAAGGGTTAGGCCGAAGCAGGGCAGTGTAGCCCAGGGCTGCTGGGCTCAGAGTCAGGACGTGGGCTGGGTCTGAGTCTGTTTCTACTACTTCTGGCCATCTGTGTGGCCATGCAATTTCTTTTTATTTATTTATTTGAAAGGCAAAGAGACAGAGAGAAGATCTTTCATCTACTCGTTCACTTCCCAAATACCTGTAATAGTCAGGGCTAGCCCAGGCTGAAGCCAGGAGCCTGGAATTCAATCTGGGTCTCCCACATGTGTGGATGGATTCAAGTACTTGAGCCATCACCTGCTGCCTCCCAGGGTGCATATCGGAAGTTAGAATCAGAAGCAGAGGCACACTCAAACCCAGGTGCTCCCACATGGGAAGTGGGCACCCCAAGTGGCATATGATTTGCTGCACCAAACACCCACTCTGAGCCATGCCATCTCCCCGAGCTCTTCTGCCCTCACCGGTGACAGCAGAGGATCAGAGATTGCACACGTGAAGGCCCCAGACAGCGCCCGGCCCCCAGCCAGGAGCTCCATTCTCATCACTCCCTTTTACCGGAATGCGGTGTTCTCTTCTCTTCCCGTAGCCAAGCCTTCCTTGTATGTCAGTCTTCATCTGAACTATCGCTTGCCTAGAAAAGTCTGTCTGGACCCCACTGACCCCTAGGTTAGCCCAACTCCCTCTCCTCTTCACCTCCTCTAACTACACCATCTGACAGCACCCCACAAATCTCGTCACTTGCCACCGTTTCAGGAACAACTATTTCCGTGAGTATTTATGCATGTGGCCCTGCTTGGCCACGCGCTCTCTGAAGTTAGGGAGAGTCTCGCTCTCTTACATTCCTAACCCTGAGTCCATAGGGAAGTTTCAGCCAAGACTTCCTGCCTGGATATGAGTGAACGGCAAATATGTACTTGCTGACAACCAGACCTTCTATGGCAACACTGGACAACCGATAGAGAAGATCAGAACAACTTTCCTTCCCTAGCCACCATCACTACCTCACTTGAGTTGTTAAAAAGAATGTAAAACTCACCAAGACCTCCAAACCCAATGTACAACATTCAAGTGATTTCTTTTTCACCAATATTAAACTGTACAGCAAAAATCATCATAAAAGTCTGTAATCTGTATGCTTTACCCCCTTTTGTAACAAACCAACCAATCCCTTGCCCATCTGGGGACTTCAGCAGGGAGCACGGTTCTGGAGGGATTCTCGGGCGTCTCTGGCTTTACCAGTGCTTCGCAGGGTCTCACTGTCTCAACCACACACTGGAGGTGAACCTCTGGCACTGGGAGCAGCAGAGGACAACCCAATCAAAATCCTCCGAGGCCTCCCTACTGGCTGCCCTCCCCACAACTTCATAGATGCTTCAAAGCATGCTCCAGGGCTGCCTCAGCTTCACGGCCGAGAACAGAGCGCAACTCAAGCACACGTGAAGGTCCTTTCCCAACAGCAGCTGCTTCCAGATGGAGGACATTCCGGCGGAACACCGCGCGTGACTCCAGGGTGCAGACGCACGCCTTCCCCAGACATTCTGGTGGAACACTGCGCGTGACTCCAGGGTGCAGACGCACGCCTTCCCCAGACATTCTGGTGGAACACTGCGCGTGACTCCAGGGTGCAGACGCACGCCTTCCCCAGACATTCCGGCGGCACACTGCGCGTGACTCCAGGGTGCAGACGCACGCCTTCCCCAGACATTCCGGGGGAACACTGCACGTGACTCCAGGGTGCAGACGCACGCCTTCCCCGGACATTCTGGGGGAACACTGCACGTGACTCCAGGGTGCAGACGCACACCTTCCCCGGACATTCCGGTGGAACACTGCGCGTGACTCCAGGGTGCACATGCACGCCTTCCCCAGACATTCCGGCGGAACACTGCGCGTGACTCCAGGGTGCAGACGCACGCCTTCCCCAGACATTCCGGGGGAACACTGCACGTGACTCCAGGGTGCAGACGCACGCCTTCCCCAGACATTCTGGGGGAACACTGCACGTGACTCCAGGGTGCAGACGCACGCCTTCCCCAGACATTCCGGCGGAACACTGCACGTGACTCCAGGGTGCAGACGCACGCCTTCCCCAGACATTCCGGGGGAACACTGCGCGTGACTCCAGGGTGCAGACGCACGCCTTCCCCAGACATTCTGGGGGAACACTGCACGTGACTCCAGGGTGCAGACGCACACCTTCCCCGGACATTCCGGTGGAACACTGCGCGTGACTCCAGGGTGCACATGCACGCCTTCCCCAGACATTCCGGCGGCACACTGCGCGTGACTCCAGGGTGCAGACGCACGCCTTCCCCAGACATTCCGGGGGAACACTGCACGTGACTCCAGGGTGCAGACGCACGCCTTCCCCAGACATTCTGGGGGAACACTGCACGTGACTCCAGGGTGCAGACGCACGCCTTCCCCAGACATTCCGGCGGAACACTGCACGTGACTCCAGGGTGCAGACGCACGCCTTCCCCAGACATTCTGGGGGAACACTGTGCGTGACTCCAGGGTGCAGACGCACGCCTTCCCCTCTGCAATAACGTCTCACGAGGAGGGTGTCCTGGTGACAGACAAGTGACTTCATTTTAACTGGGGACAGTTCACTCCCGATCTTAACCGAGGGAGTGATAGGAGTGGTCATGGCCCAGCTCTGGGTACTCGACAGGGCACGTCAATCCACTCAGGAGACATCTGCTACGCAGGCAGCAGCAGAGACCTGCTGGGCTTAAGTGGAGTCCAGCATGCCTGGGAACTGTAACACTCACTGTACCTTTTGTTGATAGGGATCCCCCAGTTAGTCACTCTGGAAATGAGAGGTTAAACACGCCACTAACATGAACAGCTGAGCTGAAGTGGCTGGGTGTTGTGGGGTTTCGAGCCACAAAGGTTGTCTCTGATTTCCCATCTCATGGGTGTCAAGAAAAGGCACTGCCTGTAGCAGAAGTGCAGACCTGCTGCGGGTGGGGTCTGTCTCTCTTTCACGGGGTTGGGACTTGCTGGCACTCTCAAATGGAAAGAAAACTAAGGAAACAGTTCCACGGAGTGAATCACAACTGCAGAGACTATGGAACTAACGTCCAGCCTACAAACTGACTGTTGTTTTGTTTTCATGGGCATCCGGGTCCAATCAACTTGGTGAAGAACAGGGGAAGCTTGCAGTGCTGTAATTCTATTTCTGACCTCTCCAACAGAGAAAAGCAACACAGTATAACACGTCCCTACAGATACACACGCATTCTTTGAAAAAACTCATGACAAGTTCTTGTGCTTCATTTCCCTGTATTTGTAAAAGTAGGTCAGAATTACAACTATTCAAATGAAAAGTCATATACCCACGGCAGGAAGTGTAGGATTAAACACATCAGTACAGGTTAGGAGAAGCAGACTTGGCTGGAAACGGCAAAAGGTGACCCCCCCATGACCACTGACCTGGGGCCACTGAGCGTGGCTGTGTCTCTCACCGCCTGGGCTGTTTCGGATGCAAAGTCGAGGGCGCCTGCCACTGGTTTGGTGACAGTGCCAACGAGCCCTTTCCCAAAGCCAGATATGAAGCCGCTGACACCTCCTTCTGTTTTCACACCTTCCACTGTTGAGGTTATAACACTGGTCAATCCACCAATGATACCTGGTGAAAAAGACAAGGGCAAAGTAAAGGCATTTACAGTCAAACCCCTCAACTCCACGCACCTGGAATGATAACGTAAGGGTATTGTGTTAACCTGTACCAGACAGGTCACAGACAGGCCAATTCACAGACAGCGGATCCAGCTTATTAGGTCCAGAGTCAGAGGATATATATATTCTATGGTGGTCAGAAGTAAAGTGTGTTCCATTAAAAAAAATCAGAGAATCAAAGAAAAGTTGGGAGGGAGGTTAGTAGAGGCCATTTTTCAAATCCAGAGCTTGGGCAGCATATGGACAACTGGGAGAGGAGGCAGACAGCAGGATCCAATCAACAGGAGACTAAAAACAGGGCTCCTGGGCAAGCCTAAAGAGGCTGAGAGCCTCACGAGGCAGGGCAATGACTAAATATACACTTGCAGTTTTCAAAGAACATGATTGGTCAAGATACCAAGTGTCTGAAATAGGGTAAAAGTCACTGCATTCTTGGCTTAAATCAGAGATGGGCAGTAACAGTAAAAAGGAGCCTACATGAAGGGCACCCCCTAAAGCTGCCAGTGTAGCCAGGACCCTCCATGGAGTCAGTTCAAAAGACCAACCTAGGTCAAAGCCACATTCCCAGCATTTTGAAAGCCGACAGCCACAGCTGGAAGCATCAGAAGTGGCCAAAAGCTGGCAAAATCTAGAGAGGTCACAGGCACAGCAGAAGAAGGCAGGCCCTGTCCAGGGAGCGTTTCCAGGACCTGTGCCAGGGACACTCACAGGACGCTCACCCTCTGACAGGGGGGTGAGAGGAAGCTCTCTAGACTCTTCAGCTCTAGTGAGACAAATGGGGAGAGGAAGCTCGTTGGGCGAGAACGTACTAACAATTCATAGTGTTTCTTTTGGATTCTGGGCTGATTTGCTCCGGCGAGGCAAAGTTCCTTCCCCAATCTTTTGAACAAAGTTCCTGCACAGCACAGGGGTTCAAACTGGGACCTGAGAGATGGAGCATTACTGAACCCGCCTCAAACAGGAGCCCCCAGGAGAACGAAGCACGACTCCCAGTTTTTTGTTTTTTTTTTGTTTTTTTAAGATTGATTTATTTATTTGAAAGGCAGAGTTACACAGAGAGAGGAAAGGCAGGGAGAGAGGAGAGAGGAGAGAGGAGAGAGGAGAGAGGAGAGAGGAGAGAGGAGAGAGGAGAGAGAGAGAGAGAGAGGAGTCTTCCATCTGCTGGTTCACTCCCCAATTGGCCACAACAGTAGGAGCTGCGCTGATCTGAAGCCAGGAGCTTCTTCTGGGTCTCCCACAGGGGTGCAGGAGCCCAAGGACTTGAATCATCTTCCATGGCTCTCCCAGGCCATAGCAAAGAGCTGGATCGGAAGTGGAGCAACTGGGTCTCAAACCGGCACCCATATGGGATGCCAGCACCGTAGACAGCGGCTTAACCCGCTACGCCACAGTGCTGGCCCGACTCCAGTTTTTAAACCAAGAATGGAGTAGACTATAGTAATTTTATCTTTTAAAGACCTTTTCATCTTGAAGGGAGAATCTCACTCTGGGCTACTGGTTTGATATAATCCAGGGCTCAATGGATACTGTTTGGATGAGACCACTAGTTTCTGTCTCAGATTCGCCTACCTGGCTCTTGGAGAGGCTGTGCGTATTATCTGAGTGATCCTTGACTGGACATGATTTTGTAATCTTGAACATCACCCATTTTCTTAGCGCACTGGTGTGCTGAACTAAAGAGTGAGGACAACTACACCCTAAAGGTCTGGTTCAGATAGCTCAGCTTCCTAACATGGCTAAGCCTGAGCTATATGCCGGGTGTCATGAGTACAAATGAACACAAAAGGGTCTCTGCTTTCATGGACTCACATCTCTTTGAGAATAAGACATAACAAGCTGGCTACATACACAGCACAGAAATATCACACATGCTCTAACTGTCATGAATTCCATGGCATTGTGGTGCAGTGGATTAAGCCGCCACATGTGATGCTGGCATCTCATATGAGTATTGGTTCAAGTCCCGTCTACTCCACTTCCAATCAAGTTCCCTGCTAATGTGCCTGGGAAAAGCAGCAAAAGATGGCTCAAATTCTTGGGATCCTGCCATTCACATGGAGGCATAGATGAAGTTCCAAGCTCCTGGCTTTGGCCTGGACCAGCGTCAGCTGTTGTGGCCATTTGGGGAGTAAACCGGTGGATGGACGATCTCTCTCTCTAACTCTGCCTTTCAAATAAATAAAATAAATCTTAAAAAGAAAATTCTAACTGTGACAGTAGAGCCAGGGGAATGTCATGAGTAGGATTTTGATAGAAGAGGAAGTGTGGCAGAGGGGAGGGCAGAAGAACAGCAAGTAAGCAAGCACTTGGGGGCAGGTCTGGGGGGCAGCACACAGCTCGACACGGTTGGTACAGTGCTTGGACGGCTCTCTGCTTTGGCCTGGGAAAGCAGTGGAAGATGGCCCAGTGCTTGGGCCCTGCGCTCATGTTGGGGACTCAGAAGCAGCCCCTGGCTCCTGGCTTCTGACTGGCCTAGCTCCTGCTGTTGCAGCCATTTGGGGTGTAAACCAGCAAATGGAAGACCTTTCTGTCTGTCTGTCTGAACTCTGCTTCTCTTAAACAAATAAAATCTTTGTAAAAATTCATTTATTCAAAGAAATTGGCTGTGTTCTATTTCCAAGGGCCTTGGATACCTCATCAAAAATTTGCTGAGAAAAATGCAAGGCAGAATTAAAGCATTAAAGTTGGAGTCAAACAGATTCAGAGACAGACTACGTTCACGCCATCACCTCTATCTCTTGAGCCCATGGTTTTATAATCTGGTGAAGGCACATTTATAGAAGAATCAAAAACATCTGGGCCACAAAAAACTTGGAAGTCAGTTTCACATTTCGGCTTCTCTGGAAGGAATGAGAAGTAGGCAGAAGGCAGAGTCCTGAACCCCAGAATCTCAGATGCAGTCCTGGTGATCACACTTCGTGCTACTTCAAGAACAAAAGCCAGAGAACAGGAAGGGATTGCAAGGTGCACAGCATTCTGCAAATGAACGAGTTCCCCCAAGCTGACTCAGGTCAACTGTAGAGCAGATAGAATGAGAGACTGGAAGGTTCTCAGGTGCACCAAGAGACCAAGCTGGGATTCCACTACTGTCCGCTTTCTTCTTTCTTTTTTTTTTCCTTTTTTGACATGCAGAGTTAGACAGTGAGAGAGAGACAGAGAGAAAGGTCTTCCTTTTCCGTTGGTTCACCCCCCAAATGGCTGCTACGGCTGGCGCGCTGCACCGATCCAAAGCCAGGAGCCAGGTGCTTTCTCCTGGTCTCCCATGTGGGTGCAGGGCCCAAGGACTCAGGCCATCCTCCACTGCCGGTTCCCAGGCCACAGCAGAGAGCTGGACTGGAAGAGGAGCAATCGTGACAGAATCCGGCGCCCCGACTGGGACTAGAACCCGGGGTTCCGGTGCTGCAGGCGGAGGATTAGCTTAGTGAGCCACGGCACCAGCCAGCTTTCTTCTTTCTAATCACATTCAGATGGGGGTCTGTGGCAGAGAAGCCACTCTTTCTTGACTTACCATGAGCCAGGCCATGGATGCCAGCTACAAGGTGCTCCCCACTGGTGGCTGCGTGGTATCTGATGTACTCCCGCTCTGACTGGTGCCGATTGTCCATTGTCTTCCCTAAGCCATCTGATAACGTCCCTGCAAACTGGGGTGAATTAAAAACAGAAGAATTTTAAAATCCAGCACCATTTTTACTATTTTAATTATTTTAAATAAATACCTTCCCTTGCTAGCTTAGATTCAGTAAATATCACTTAATCAGATTAATCGCAGAATTACACCTTGTCTGTCCCAGAAGACAGATGACCAAAGATAAACACATTCAAACTGTGGGATGCTTGCCCTGGGGGACGTGAGGCTTACCAAACAACCACTAAAAATCCTTAACTTTCCACAATAAAGGCTGAACATCCCAAACCTGAAACGCTCCAAAACAAGAAACTTTTTGAGCACCAATAAGATTCCACAAGTGGAGAATTCCACACCAGGCTTCATGTGACAGGTCACGGTCAACACGTGGGTACACGGAAGCAATGCACAAAATCACCTTCAGGTCATTGTACCAGGTATACACGAAGCATAAATGAATTTTGTGTTCAGACTGCAGTCCCTTGACCAGAGCATCTTATTGTAGCTAGGCAAATACTCCAAAATCTCAAACACTTACTTCCAGCAAGGGGTACTCAATCCGTACCTCTGAAAATTTACTGAAAAATCAGTCATAACGAAACGGCCTGGGAAGGGGAGGGGAGCTTTAGGAGTCTATGATGGTAAGGACATAGGGTGCTTGCTTGAAGAACAGTGGGAGTCAAAACAGGAATTGTGTCAGATAGTTATCGAAACGTCTGGAGACATTGACCTTCCTCAAGTAATGCCTCCTTCACTTATTCAACAGTTACCAAGTACCTGGTAGAGGCCTGGGCCCATGTGTCAAAAAACAAAAAGGAAATGAATAGAAAGATTTACAGATTAGGTCACCCTTCATAGGAAGTGGCAGACCTGACTCAAGATATCCAGTGCAAAGCCATCTTTCCCCGCAAATCAGAGATCTTATTTACCCTGGCATACTTCAACCAGAGAAGCCGTCTCATTCATCAGAGTCAGAAAGAGCATATAAAACTCTGTTTTGTCATCTGACAACTTCAGAAGTTTTAAGGTGACAGTTAATAAACCACAAGGTACTTATCCACATCATTCAGGCATAAAAAGGGAAGGATATCAGATTTATAATTAGCCTCCACAGGAAGGTTCTACCAAAACAAGTGGTTTAAATGCCAATGACCCAGGACTAACCTTTTAGAAACCTCATAGGAATGTTATTTAGATATAAAACCCAATGGAAAGATTCAAGGCAAACAGCCTGCCTGGAAGACCCAGCACACTGAGTAGCAATCTGGGGGCCTGTTTCATTTTCATTTGGCAAGGAGAGGGGTATGTGTTACACAATCAGATCCATCCTGGGACCCATCAGTCCTGAGGCTTCTTGACACAAGTGACAGGTGAGTTCTGGGCATGGAAGGGAAACCAGAGGAAGGAGACAGCACCCTCAAGTCAAGCAAGGGTTTCTGGGGCAAGCCACCGGAACACTCATTCCCTTCACCAAGGCCAAATGCTTTTACAATCAAGGCAGGGATTTCTGATCCTCTGGAGATACAACTCCTGTCGTTTGTCTGCTTTTCGCCTTACCTTCCTCATCACTGCCTGTTCAGTTAAAGTTAATGAAAATTAATTTGCAACTCCTTTCAGGGGAACTGGACACATCATGGTATGTCACAAAATCAGCACAGTGAATTACTCAGCAAGGCCTTTGACCGAGACCCCTTTTTAGAGCCACTCCTGTATTTGAAGAAGGACCATGGGCTAGGAGATCAACTCACCCACATTCTAGTCCTCTCCTCAACCATTCCAGGAACTCCTTGACTCCAAGCAAGACACTTGCCTCTGAGCCTCCCTCTACATCAGCAGAATGGTGACAGCATCTACTCTGTCATGGGGCCGGGAGGACCAGTGACAATGGCTCAGGGTCTGGCATTCAGTTAGTATTTTTATTGCTATCATCACCCAAAAAGTTTAGAATTAGTGGTCATTTGTATTAGGGTTTAACATTAGAAAACAAAACAAACCCTCTCTTCCTAAGATATAAACACCAGGCTCAAGGGCGAGGTTTGGGGTGTTAGCCTTGATGTTCCCCAAAGTCCTTTCTGGCCCCGGCAGTGTGTGAACTGTGACCCAAGGCTGGGCCTCCTCAGGGAGCACTGACTCCCGGCCCAGCAGAGGTTTGGTACTGCTGAGGCTGTCAACAGGTCACAGCTTTGGACCCTCTTCCTCAGGAGCTGACAGTCTCACTGGAAAGGCGACAATTACGTACACGAGACACCAGCAACAAGGACTCAGAACACAAGCCGCAAGCATGCAGGGATCCAGGGAGAGGAGCACGCCTTTGGGGAGGGGTCACAAGAGTCCCTGCTGATTTCTAACTGTGGAAGTTGCCAGCTCTCCTCATTCAGGGTCTGCACAAACACCTCACTCCCTGCTACGTCACAAGTGGTAGAACTGAGGTCACGCTTCCCCGCCTCTGCTTTACAGGATCGACAGCAAGCCGGAGGACAGGTGCAGTGGCCAGAAGTTCTGGGTTTGGAATCCAGGCTACCACAAAGCGTGTGGCCTCCTTTCACTGAGGAGCACTTACTTAGTCATCCCTAATTCCACCTCTCATTCCATCCATCAGTGGGAAGGTAAACCACGCCCCACCCCTGCCTTCTCCCAGGAGGCTGAGAACAGGGCTGCAGGAGGAGGGTACTCTCTGGCCTGGAGGGTTAGAAGTGTTTTCACCCAAGTCCTCACGTTAAAGATGATCACCAGGATAGGGCAGACACCAGGAGAACTACAGCAACGTACTATCACCTCAGTGGTCTGATGACAAACCCAGCCTGGAGGTGGCTACGCAGGTCATCCACACAGAAGGGAAATGCATCGCAGAAGCCTGGGGGAAAGGAGGTAAACCAGGAGGCGCTGCGCACGTACATTCAGCTCTGTCTCCAACCAACCAAGCAGCCCAACGAAGAGGGATCCCCTCCTGCCAGGCCAGAGACTGAGAGCAGCAGCCAGAGGTGGCTTCTGCCTCCTGCCCTGGGCTCTGCGTCAGGAGGTGCGCCCGTGGCTTATCGGGAACAAGCATAGCTGAGCTGGAGTTACCACTGCAACACTTAACAGCTGTGAGGTCGCGGGAGAGCAACTGCCTCTCTGCGGACCGTCCTCTTCTCCTCTTGAAGCTGGGATAAAAACGGAATCCCACAGGACGCTGCAAGGATTAGACAATACCTGTAAGGACGTGGCGCAGACCTGAGGCACAACAGACGCTCAATAAGAACAGGCTCGAGGTATCTCAACTTCGGCTTCTTCCTATGCAAACTGGGAATGATCAGATTCCGTGCGCGGGACGGTGTACAAGGGAAGTGCCAGGCACGGCGCAGCCCCAGGCACGGCGCAGCCCCGTGAAGTGGAGGCTGCCCGCGGGCGGGAAAAGCACTGGAGCAGGCAGTGTGGGCCAGGCTCCTGAACCGGAAAAGCCACTGGCAACTGGAAGGCAATTTGTGGATAATTTGTAACTTTGCTCATTATGAACAATACCTCAGCATCAAAAGAAGAATTTGTAGAGACTTAAGTCAACCTAGTCCATTTTGTAGCAATCTCAAGTCCACAAATGCTCAGAGTTTCAAGTGAGGTTTGTCCTAGCTAAGATGAAAGGTTCTAAGGAACAGAACAGAACGTCCTGCAGAAAAGCTGCTGTTACTCTTGCAAAGATGAAATTTCCCGCTTCTCTCCCCAGAGGAAGCTTCAGCACAGCCACGCTGGGTGACCGCTGGCCACAGTCCCTTTACTATCCATACAGCAACATTTGCAGCAAAGGGGTAAAAAGATCAGAAGTACTTAAAGATGCCAGTCCAAAAATAATCCCTTTGTCCACATAAATGGAGACATGGCAATTTAGTCTGGCTCTTAAACAGTGGATCTAACAAAACCAAAATTCAAGTAAATGCAGGGATCGTGCAAGGGAAAAAAAACTCATACTGTGTCCCTCTGTTGTGTCCTCTCAGTTTTTCTAACCCGTGTGTGATATTCAGCAAGTATGGGAGGCCAAAGGTATTTGGCCAGTGTAACAGGAGCCCGGGCTCAAATTTCTCTTCCTTCTCTTGGGTTCTTCTTTCACAGTTATTTACTTAATGGAAATTTCCTCCTTAATATCCTGAGTAATTGCTGGTGACAGTATCTTCCTTGTCCCCAGGGCAGATGGTGACCACATAAAACAGGAAAAGAAAGAAGTGAGAGGACCATGTAGGGTGAGGAACATTCTTTATTCTTCTAAGTACAAGGCTGGCAACTGCCCAAATCTCAGTTTCTAGCACAGCTCTAATTCCAGTCAGCACGGGCTGCAGCAAGCTGTGCTTGGATATGCAGATCTGGGATGCCCAACCCTGTCTCATGCCCATAAGTAAGGCCGCCATGAACTCTGGGGGCTGCCATGATGGTGTCAACTGGGCAGGAGCAAAGGAGTCAAATCTTTCTTTGTTATTAAATATGCATCGTGGTGGAAGCTGCTTAACTTCCCAGAACCTCACTTTTTTATCTGCAAAAGATACTTTCTACTACAAAGGGTTACTTTGAAGGGGCAGGGAGATATTTTATGCAAAACCCTTGGCACAGTGTCTGGCCATCAATGTCATACATTTCTTACAAGCAGTTTGAAACCTTACTTCCAAATCATCTTATTTTACTTAGGAAACTTTCTTGGGGGCTAGAACTGTGGCACAGCACATTAAAGCCCCGGCCTACAGCACCGGCATCCCATATGGGTGACAGTTCCAGTCCCAGCTGCTCCACTTCTGATCCAGCTCTCTGCTGTGGCCTGGGAAAGCAGTGGAGGATGGCCCAAGTCCTTGGGCCCCTGCACCCGTGTGGGAGACCCGGAAGAAGCTCCTGGCTCCTGGCTTCAGATCAGCTCAGCTCTGGCAGTGGCGGTCATTTGGGGAGTGAACCAGTTTATGGAAGACCTCTCTCTCTCTCTCTCTCTCTCTCTCTCTCTCTCTCTGTAACTCTTTCAAATAAATAAAATAAATCTTTTTTTTAAAGGAAAACCCTTTCTTT